GAAGGAGGGGGGGCCAAGAGCGGCTGCAGGGGTCGCTTTGGAGAGCTGCCGTGCACGCGGCGTGTCTCGTGCCCACGGCTGCCAGGAGGGGGCAGAGGGGGAGGGGAGGGGAGTGGGGTTTGGGCCGAGGGAGTCAGGGGGGGGGGGCAGGGCAGGGCGGATGGTGGGCATCCACGGGCGAAGATGCGATGCGAGGGAGGGATATGGCGGGAAGGAAGGGGAGATGAGGGAGGGGGTGGGGCGAGGACGGCTTTCATTACTACTTCCTTCCTGCTTGAGAGGGAGGGAGGGGAGAGACGGGAAGGGGAGGGGAGAGGACGGCTTTGATGACTACCTCTTTCCTCCTTGCACTTTCGCATCCCTCTTCCCGACCTCGGCCCTTCCAGCTCGCTCCATCTCCCCTGTTCCTCTGAAGTCCTAAGACGCCTACGGAGGCCTCCAGAAGCCAAGGACGGACCGAAAACGCGAATCGCTCAGCATCCGTCTTGATTTCCATGTTACTGGCACAGCCCTCTGCATTTGTTCAGGGACGCACTGCTAAGCCTCCTCCCCAACCTCCTCGCCCTCCCATTCCTCCTCCACCTCCACCTCCTCCACCACCCGTTTTTCCTCCCCGCCTTCCGCATCCCCCTCCTCTTGGCGCGCTCAGTCTCCTCATCCAGCTTCTGCTCGCCATCGGGGCCAAGGTTCCCGTGGACGCTGACGACGGTGACGCCGGCGTGCCCGTACCTAGAGGCCTCCCAAATGGGGTCCGAGTAGATGGGGTCGCAGGAGCGCGCCGCATCGCCGATACATCGAAGATGCACCAACGAGGCATCGGCGCCGTCGGCGGTGCATCGGCAAAGCCAGCGTGGAGAACATCGGGCTCCACCTCAAGCCGCATCGCCGATGCATCGGCGATGCGGCGCGATCCTTTGACCCCATTTGCTCCGACGACCCCATTTAGGAGGCCAAGAGTACCATAGGTCCATGGTCTCATGTAACGCGTGCCTCGTCGTGGTGGGAGGAAGGAGGAGGAGGAGGAAGAGCAGGAGGAACAGGAGGGAGGAGGAGGAGGAGGAGGAGGAGGAGGAGGAGGAGGAGGAGGAGGAGGAAGAGGAAGGAGGGAGGAGGAGGAGGAGGAGGAGGAGGAGAAACATATAATAAGAGGAGGAGGGAGGGAGGAGGAGTAGAGGGGAGGGAGGAAGGAGGAGGAGAGGAGGAGGAGGAGGAGGAGGAGAGAGGAAGGAGGAGGAGGGAGGAAGGAGGATGAGGAGGAGCAGAGGAGGAAGGAGGAGGAGGAGGAGGAGGAGGAGGGAGGAGGACGGAAGAGGAGGAGGAGGAGGAGGAGGAGGAGGAGGAGGAGGAGGAGGGGGAGAAGGAGGAGGAGGAGGAGGAGGCGGAGGAAAAGGAGGAGGAGGAGGAGAAGGAGAAGGATGAGCAGGAGGAGGGAACCACGGCGCTGCGGGGGGCGCCTTTTTGAGCCCCCCATGGGCCTCCTCTCCGGCCCCCGCTTTGGGACACGCCCCTCTCGGCGCATCCCTTCGGGGCATCCCTTCGAGGCATCTCTCTGGGGCCCCCCTTGCGAGTAGGGGATCGAGAAGGGGTTCGACTACAGACTTGATTAACCCCAAATTGATTCGTACTCGAATCTACGAAGAAGGCGTATAGTTCTCGTAGGTATCCGAGCATCCTGCGCATTGGTTGGTGCATTCGACGAAAAAATCAAGTCTGGGGTAAATCAATGTTGTAGTCGACCCCCTTCTCGACCTGTGGGCCTGCTGCTGGGGGCCGCCAGTTTGGGGCCTCCCTCTGGGGCCGCTGCGGGCCTCCCTCTAGGGCCCCCCACTGGGCCACCCCCACCCATGGCCGCGCCCTGGCCTGGGCCGCATCCAGGAGCCCTCCTTCCTTCCTCCTTTTCTTGTTTTCCCCCGCTCCTTGCCTCCCCAGGCGGGCGCGAGCGCGCGCGCCCAACGGCGGGGGTCGGCGGCGCAGGTCCCATGGCCGTGCGCCCGCCTGCTCAACCTTCCGATCCCTCTCCCCTCCACCCCCCCCTCTCTTCCCCACCGGGGTGTTCCCCCCTAATCGTCAGGCGTCCTGGCCCGCGCTCGGCGTTCCAACCCCCCAGGAGCCCTCTGTGCGCCGCGACGGCCGTCGGTCTCCCAGAGGCGCGCGCCTGGAGCCCGGGACCGAGGCCCCAGACGTCGTGATCTTGTGTCACACCCGGCGCCCCCCAGAGATCTGGACCCGCTCCCGGGGACCAGTTCTCCATCTTAGATCGCTCTTATGAGGGGAGCACCAAACACGCATGAACGTGCCTGTGCGACCAACCTTCGGGCGACAAGGAGGTTCGGGGGGAGGAACCGAAGTCTCGCTCAATCGATCTCACTATCGATCTCATTCGATCGAGCTCGTTCGATCGATCTGACTATTGATCTCACAATCGGTCTCACCATCGATCTCACGATCGATCTCACTATCGACCTCTCGGGACACCACGGGACAGACACCATGGGCCAACACAGGACGGACCCCACGATACACCACGGGCCACCGCGGGACACCACGGGACACCATCGGGACAACACGGCGGGACACCCCCAGCCACCGCTGGACAACTGGGAGGGCGGTCTTTTGGCCCGGCGGCGCCCTATTCGGAGGGTGACTTCCTCTCGCCCACACGCAGCTTCGCCTCGCTCGCACGCATGACACGAACACGAAACCGAAACCGATTTCCAGGTGAGGGGCGTTCACTGCGAACTCGCCCATACGATTTCTCGCCCATACAAGAAATCCGCGCGGCACTCGGAACAGGTTTATGTTCGCGCCGTGCTCTTTTAATCTTCGACTGCTGAGACGGCCACGGGGCCCGGCGAGCGCCCAGAGAGGCTTCACATCTCCGGAAACCGCCCGCCGTCGTCGTCGCACCCGGCTCCGGCTTGGGAATCCAACAGGTACCAGACCGCCACTCCCAGGACATGGACCTCTCTCGGGGCGAGGCCGACCCAGCCGTGGCGACGAGGGCATCCCAGGAGGCCCATGTAGGCGAACGAGACAAGGGTGGCTGTATCAGTACCATTCCTCCCCTGAGATGCTGGTGGATCGGGCAGAATCGAATCGGAATCGGAATCGCGGCCCCAACCGGCGAAGCGAGTCGCATCGGATCGGGCCGTAGGCGGCCCTGCCAGGCCCCCAAGGGGCTCCGCCCTAGTTTTGATCAGGTCGTGGGAGGCCTGGATGCCGATGGCGTCCTGCACCTGTTCTGGATCGCCCTTTGCTCACGACGTCAGGGTGAGGACAGATGCGCAGTAACAAGAGAACATGCCTAATTATTGGGAGGCACCTGCTGGGAGGTCGTCGGAAAGACTAAGGAAAATCAAGCCCCATTGGGGGGCTGTTACGCCAGACTAGGCCGGGGATCCAGCGGGAGTCCGTCGGAGGAAGCGGGGGTAAGCCAGATTTCAGCCAGGGCAAAGTTAGCATTTGACCTCCCAGGAAGTGCATCTGAAGAATTCCTGCGCCTCCTCCTCCTCCTTCTCGTCTTCGCGCGCGTCCTCGTCGTCGCCGTCGTGGTCGTCGTCCTGTTCCGCGTCCTCCTCCCCTTATGAGCATCGTTGAACCGATCCCTGTCCCCACGGGCGTGGCCTGGGCCACACTGGCCGATGTAACCTCCCGGATGGGGATACAGGCTGTTCCCTTCGAGCTTCGAGGGGCATATCCACAACTAGGGTGGTGAAATTAGAGGTCTCCTAGGTGGGGTCGGGGTAGATGTGGTCGGAGGATCGCGCTGCATCGCTCATGCATCGGAAATGCATCGGGGATGCACCGGCGATGCATCGCCGACATCGGCGATGCATCGGCGACGTCGACGTGAATTAAATCGGGCTCCACATCCATCCGCATTGGCGATGTATGGGCGATGCGGCGCGGTCATCCGACGCCATCTGCTCCGACTCCATCTAGGAGGCATAGAATAATGGTGGCGATGCTGACGTTACCAACCACCCCCCCGGTCACTCCAGGGGTGCGCGTTGACCAACAGATCCACTGGAGAGGAATCCAGCCGTGTCGAGGAGCCGCCCGGGTGAAGAAACTTCCAAAGAAATCGATCATTTAATTTTGAACCTCCACCTCCTCCTACTCCTCCTCCTACTCCTCCTCCTCCTCCTCAACCCCCCAATGCCCCATTCCTCCCCTCCCTCTCCTCAACAAGACTTCTCATGACGAGCTCGGTAATCCGTTTCCTCCTCCTCCACCTCCTCTTCCTCCGCCTCGTACCCCCTCTTCCTCCTCCTTCTGAATTCTCCTCATCGTCCTTTTCCTCCTCCTCCTCCTCCTTCCTCCTCCTCCTCCTTCCGCTGGGGAGGAGAGCGCCGCGCCTGTAGGCCTCCTGCTCGTCCTTCGTGCGGCAGGAACCCCACGCCGCGCTCAGCGCCTCCTGGCGGAGCGCAGCGCCGCCCGGGGGCAGACCAGGGAACGAACGCACGGACGACCACTGGTGCGGACAAGTGCCGGGACCTACGTGAGACCTCACGAGAAAAGTCCGAGAGGTCCCGCGCGGTTTTTCGGATGCTTGCCAGATTCACGCTAGGTTCCTGTGAGATTTCGTCGGATCTGGTCGCCTGGCATGGGTACGGGAAAACTGGGTACGATGCCCACCAGCAAGTTTTGTCCAAAGCCGGCAGCAGCAAGTGTTGGGCAAGCGGCCTTCTGCCACAAATGAACAACACCCGAGGCGGCATGGACTGTGACCCCGGTCCTACGTGAACAACAAATGCCGTCGGTCTCCGTGCCCATTCGATCGCCCCGATCGGATTCGCGACAGATGTGCATCGGAGCATCGCCGCGCGGACGGACGTCGACGAATACCCTGTACGCAGGGCCGCACGTGTGGACCAGAAAGTACAGTGATGGCGCGCCGCGCAGGGCCTCACGGGGACGAGAGAGCTAAGGGGGAGAGGGAGAGGAAGGGGGAGGAGGAGAAGGAGGAGGGGGAGAGAGAGGAGGATGAGAAGTACGAG